ACTGTTTTGGAGCTGCCCTTCAATAAGATCAGATCTTATGCAATGATTGCTCTTTAAAGAGGGCTCATCAAAAGGGATCAGTGCTTCAGTGCAGTCATTCTCATTAGTTACTAAAGAAATTGGTTGTGCTGGAAAGAGGCTACCGGTAGTACATGTAGTTGTGATTCAATATCTTATATCTCATGCAGTTATGAGGCAGCAATAAAGAATGACATGCAGTAGGAAGTACACGTTATAAACTCTTTATCTAGAATGACTGGAAGTAGGTTCAGACCAAACAATGGCCCATCCATATTTTATGACCTCTACATTTCCATCAAAGCCTAGTTTATGTTGCCCATGGTACCTGAGAGCCTATGGGGAGAGGGTTGCTATGTATCGCATCGAAGAGTTTAGAGCAGATCGACTTTAAAGATCTAAAGATGCAATCCCAACAGTTTCTTAATAACTGTAAAATGTGTGATACAATCAGCCTGATATTAGATGAAGCCATTTTGTTTCACTGTGTTACTGTTTATCTGTATGTGCTCTATCGGAGTTGAAATTAGTATGTGAAGGAACTAATATTAACTATTAGAACTATTAGAATCCATTTCTAACACAACAGAAAAACAGAGACAGTTAAAAGAAAGGAAAGTATATTTTTCTAAATCACTGGGACGATAAAGAATGTAAAAAATGAGTGTTACCGATAAAGGCATATGAGTCAGAAAATGTTGCAGCACATTGTGAGAAGAGAGAACTCAGCTCAGAACATACATTTAATAAATTTGGACCCAGACTCATGAGTAATAGAAATAGAGAGGCGTAGTTACTGACAGCCTACTACCAGGTAAATACACACTTCTACTTGTATAAAACTGACCTTTGTACGATGAATACTTCATAAAATACTGCAGATCCTTTATCTTACCTCTTTCTAATCTACACACATACAAGTATTCAACTGAAGTTACACAACAGTGTTGTTGATACAGAGTTGGAGTTTATTCACACGTCACATACTACAGTGGGTAATGTTTTCAAGAAACATTGAACAGTGCTGCCACACATGACACAGGGAAAAAAGAAAAGACTCTGAACCCTTTCTTTGCCATTATATAAAAATAGTGTTGCTACAAAAGTATAAATGAGGCTTACTAGTAAGACAACTCAGATCTGAAGCTACACAGGAATCTGCTGCCAAAGTGCAATAAATAAGACAAAATTAATAAAAATCAAACCCTTTTTTTTTTGCATTTTAGTAGAGTATAAAAATAAATGCCTTTAAAATAGGATGCAAGCAACACTAGTTTCTTAACCTGAATTGATAATAGACTATAATCAATTTAAACAGAACAGATCTTAATGTTTGCATTCTTATACCATTTTGTACAATAATTGTAATGAATAAGTTCAAACAAACAAAAACTTACAGCTGATTAATAACGGTATCTAACTTGAGTTTTTATTATATCAAAAACCTGTTGAAATGCTACTGTTATTTTTACTGTCCCCCAAAAGCGCGTCGGCAGCCTCCAGCAATGCTTCTTTCACAACTTCGCCGTCTTTGAAAGACTTCATGTGTTTCGCAAGAACGTGCCTGACACGATACGATGCTCTGGTAGCAGCCTTGCTCTTGTTGTTGGGCCTGGTGAAAATGGACTGCTGTGCATTTAGCTGTCCTTTCAGGCCCCTCCCCTTTTGGGAGCGTTGGGCAGAATTAGGAGGGAATTCCGTCTCGTAGCGTTTGTGCACTGTTTTGAAATGCCGCTCCTAAATTACCCTTCTTCGATAAAGTCACGCTCGCATTGCAGATGAGACAGATGGACTTTGAATTGGAATAGATACACAAATAATCATCCTCCCACTCGGAGTGAAAATTATATATTTTGGGCTTTTTTGCTTCTGCCATAATTGTGGTCTTGTGTGACTGTCACTCCTGTTGACACGGACAACGTCAGCGAAATAGTGCCCACTGCTCACCAGCCACGCCCCGACACATGGGGTCACGTCGGCCAATCACAAAGCTTTGATGCGTTCAAGTGCATTATTCTGGCACGGGAAGATTATGTTATAGGACATTAACGATAAAACAGAATGTTGTTGTTCTATTTTTAGACACATCTCGCGATCGACTGGGAATCTCCCCGCGATCGAACACTGCTAATATAAGCTTAAAGGGGACCTATCATGCAAAATGCACTTTTGTACGTCTTTTATACATAAATATGTGTCCCCGGTGTGTCAGGGAACTCACCAAGTGTCAGAAAACACAACCCTCTCTCTTTTCCTCCATACCCAAATCTCTAAAAACGGGGCTGCAACGGATCTGATACAGACTGATACAGATTTGAAATATCTCTGACGTCAGAAACGAGGAGGCCTATATGGGCAACCTATCAGGAGGAGACAGCCACAGCCATTGCTGTTCGAAAGTGCTGGAGACGCTGTAGTACATATGCCAGGCCTGTAGGTGGCGCTGTAGTACATATGCCAGGCCTGTAGGTGGCGCTGTAGTCTGCCACAAAAGCAGCAAAGAAGACTTCTCAGATTCAGCCCTTGCAAAAACAGGGCTGAAAAAGAGAAAATAGAGCGAAATGAGGCATGGCTAAAATGTATGATCTGTTTGGTATTTTGAAAAAAAGACTTTGCAGACATGTTTTATATAGGTATGGCCCTACAATATATTATTCAAATATAGCATGATAGGTCCACTTTAAGGAAGCTATGATTATTTTTCTATTGTGTTACAATCTAAATATAAGTTTGCAGATTGTATAAGCAGTGACGTGACTTATTTATTGTCCTGGCTAAGCTTTGTTATTGAATGTCATGGAAGAATTTAAATGCATTGTTTACTTTTTGAATGCGAACACAAAACATTCCTGTGGACACTGCCCTGTCAAATGTGTGTTCAGTGTAACACTGGCAATATAATGCAAACAGGTAACTTCCTTGAGTATCTCTGTTTAAATTAAGACTCATTTAAGTGATGATCTGTAAGTGTGAATCATGTAAAACAGATGTAAAGCCCCCCTGCATAGTGAACAGCTGATTTTACCTTGTTGCAGGTTACAGCTCTGACTCAGTAACACATAGTTAAAACAGCTTAAGACATTTCTACCTGACTTGTAATGACGCACCTTCAGCTGCTGCTCCGTCAACATTACGGAGGTGATTGTGTTTAGCCACCAACAGCCAGCCTTTGTGTTCATTTTAAGCAATCGGGGCGCATGGAGAGCTGATTTCAGTTTGAAAATGCGACCCCAGCTGAGTTTGTGTCTTTGAGGTTAACTTATCACAACAGAAACCATATCAACAATGGCCACCTTTAAGCTTATCAGGAGCGATTAAGGAGCTTAAATGGGCTCATGTCTAGAGTCAAGAGATGAAATAGCATGCTTATTTCCAGTATGGCCCCCAGCTAAATACCTGCAACACAATTTTCTATCCACAAAAGTTAAAAGCAAGTGGTTCAGAGGTTACTTCACAGATATTGATGGCCCCTTGCCAGTGTTTGACTTGGGGCTGTAAAGGAGAAAACACAGAGCAGATAAGGACATCTCTGTCTCTCAGAGCCTGGGAGTGATTCTCTTTCTGCTTTCCCCAAACAGACACCTGTTGTCTGAACTGACAGGTGGGCTCTTGAAGCAGAAGTCCCATCCTGCATGGTGTGTGAGCCTGAGCCCTGGGGGCGGATTCACTTCACCCTGTGTAATCCCTGGGTGTCTGTGGGCCTCCTGCAGAGCTCTAAATGCAGGACAAAGACTACCTTGTAGATATTGAGTAAGATGCTCTGTCGTGGGCAGCACTGCCTCAGGACAACTACGAATATCTTTAAGATTAGACTAATCGGAGTAAAAGTGATATTGACGCTGGCTATGCAGTCCAATATCAGTAGTACAGCCTTCAAAGGGCCCAACTTTGCTTCTAAAGAGGCTCACATGGGTTATGATACCAATGCACGTCACACAAAACAGCAAATGTTAGGGTGTTAAAACTTTAAATCCTCTATTGTGCTATCAAACCAGCAAAAGACATAGTACCTGCTACCGAGGCTGGTTGGTCCTGTATGCCATACACACACAAAAACACCTCTGTATGTTTTCATGTGAGAGGATAGACAGAAAGAGTGTGATGTAATTGGTCTTTCTTACTTGTGATGTTTGCATGCTAAACGTAACATTATCTCTGAGATCTCATAGTCCAGCCTAACAATATGGAAACAATCCAATGGAAGTATTATCGCACATAAATACTGTTGGCAGATCGTCAGACCTGAACTGAAATGATATATCGCCTCTTAGGTCATTCTTACTATAGTTTGGCACTTGAGGTGTCCGTCCTGAGAGCCAGCCTTGGTGTCATTGGTTGTAAATGAAAACAGAGATTAGAGGGGATCATGGCGGGCAGAGTGGTGCAGTCGGTGCTCACTGCTGATAGGATGACCTGGGTTACCGTGAACTTACCTGACACAGCCCAACTCAAGGTCAAGAGGGAGTAATAATCAGTAGATAAACTGCTTCACATCTACTCCGGTGACCTGGGGAGGGGATTAGAGCTGAGTGGGGAAGGGAAGGGCAAGCAGGGAAAGTATCAGCCTGTATACCTGAGATGGGTCTGTGGCTTGATATACTGCACTGTGAACTCGTAACCTCCTAAATGTGTCTTTAATTGGATCATTCATGTATAGTTTAAAAACTGCTTTTATATTTTTACTTCATATTTATGTGTACCTTTTCTGTCTTGGAGCTGCTGCAACACCTGCATTTCCCCTCTTGTAACCAATACAGGTTATTATCTTTCCTTATCTTATCATCTCCAGTGTAACTAAATGCAGCCTCGGTGTGGAAGTGTACACAATGGAAATACAATAATGTTATATTGCCTTTATACCTGTAACCCTCCCAGCCAATGATGAACTTGATTAACTTTTGAATGCAGACATATCCATTCAAATTAGCAACTTCAAAGATTAATTGAGAGCTTACAGTGAAAAATAAAAGAAGCCATCCTACCTGTAGCTCACACCATGCAACCTCCACTGTTGTCTCCGTGTCCAGTCCTTTATAGACCGTCTTGAAAGACCCCCTCCCAATCTCTATGTTGAATTTGAGATATCTTCCATCGGGTGAGGTCGCCACCGCTTTGGTCTCCACGTCCTCTTTCTCATCCCGCTCCAACTGAGCATCAAACGCGATCTGTAATGAGATCTTGAGCTGTTTGTTGTGAACTTCATTTTCAGACTCCGAGCTGCCAGCGTCCCGAACCCTGGATCTCGGCTTGGGGTCCCAGTTTCCAGTGAGAGAGCCGGCGTCTGGCTCCTGGCTGCTGGGGGGCGTGTTGGAGCTGGTGCCCGGGCTGAAAACAGGAGAAGGCGACCGCGGGAACTCTTCAGTTTTCTCATCCTCCGCTCTGGACTCGAGCAGTGTTGGGATATTCTCAGCTGACCAGGACAAGGCTTTGGAAAGCACGCCGCTGTACAGAGGAGAATCAATGTCCATGGTAATTTTCTGCAGCCCATAAGAGTTTCTCCGTGCGCCCAAAGCGCGCGTCCTCAGCAGGGATGGGACCCGGGTTAAGCAGTCGTCGTTCATATCCACAGAGAGGCCCGGGAAACCGCGTCCTGCTATCTCAACCTGTGCATGTGACATTGTAGCAGACTCAACGCCTTCTGGATTTAGAGCCTAAAAGTGGAGATGGCACCGGGACAAAAGAGTCGTTACATTAACTTTCCCATGATGTCAGAGGTTTAATACAAACACCGGTTATAAAATGACTAACAATGCAAGATCCAACATGGGTGTGTTTACTATATTACCTGTATCTATTTAGAATATCTCTTTAAAAACACAAGAAGTATGAAAAATGTACTTACTCATCGCTGCCGATGCGTAAAAACTTTTGCGCACATAAAAGCAGATGAACGCATAGTTCCTATCAAGTAATCCGAGTTGTCCTCTTCTCTTCACAAAGTCCTCAGCCATAACCTGCGCTGGAAGGACGGCGTTGCCTATATCAACAGTGCTCCGGAGGGCCGTGCGTCCTGTGCGCGCTCCCGACTCCGCCCCTTGCAGCTTTGACGCGCTAATGAGACTATCATCAGGGAGTAATTACAGTAGAAAAGTTTGCAAACTAAAGTTAGTTCAAACCCAAACATTAAATCAGCAAGTTTTGGTTTTCATGTTACGCGTAGTAGGTTTCCATAAACTCTTTGGGACACTTTATAAAATATAATTGTAAATATGTAAATTAAAAGCAGGGCCGTGCTTTTGAGAGGATCTACCATCTACATGTCCTTGTACTGACAGGGTCTCTTCACACTGTACAGAACAGGATATCTCCTCTTCTAATTGGCCCCTGATCACAGCTTCAGTTTCTCTGAATTACGTTAAAACCGGTCATTTTACTCCAGGCTAGACTCAGTCTGACGTCACGTGATTAACCAGAATGAGAGAGATAGCCCAAGGAAGATTATAGACATTTGTTCAAACTGATGGAACAGCTAAACATCTATTTTTAGGAATGTGAGTCATTGAGATTCTTACTCAAAGACACTCAAACCAGGTTATAAAATGAAGATGGATGATATTAAACTATAAAAAACTAAAACCAGAAAGTTCAGCAGACTATTAATTGATTCATTTTACCGGGGAGATTGAACATTTTAGTCTACGTTTACATAACGTTTTAGGACCTTTACATTTCTCCAAATTACAAACAATATGCTCATATCCTTAATATTCTAGAGGAATTGTGTGAAAATACATTTGATTTCATTGCCTATCTTCAAGGTATTTTAAAATACTTTATTTTTTTCATCCCCTTTTTATAAATATATATATACACATTTGTTTACTATTTTACATTCATCTTATCTCCTGCTTCTTTACCGAATGTAGCATCCTATTTAAAATGGAGTTGTGCTGCATATAATGTTATCTTTATTTCATTATGATGCCTTACTTTTTTAACTTATATTACGTCACATGTTGATTTTTTTATGCTGAATAATTAGGAAAAAACTGAATATAAGATGCAGTTGGATGTGGACAAAGTGCAGTGTGAGCCTAACCTGCAGGGGGGGCCAGACCGCTGCTGCAACAGGACACCTTTATCAGCCAAGGCCACACTGTGCCCCACCTGCACAGACACACACTGACTGTTATCAGAAACACACAGGATTCATTGGAGCTGTATCTTCCCCACAGGCGGAAACGCACAGCACATGCTGCAGGCAGAGAGTAGATCATAACACGTCTGCACACTGTGGGTCACTGTTTACATTATCAATCATCATGTGTACACACAACAGCTAAGACCCCCGGATCACTTAAAGAAGCAAACAAGGAAGCACATTTAGCAAATTTCTAATTTATTTTCCTACAGGATATGAAAAAAAAGAAAGTTGAATATAGACAGAGAGAGAGTAGAACAGGAGTGTCACAGTAGCTATAACAGCACAGTAAGAGGATGACAGTAATCTGTTCATAAAGTCCACTATTATTACACCCAGTCAGCCAGGAGTGGTGGTCCGAGTCTATGGGGTTCCTCTTCTGGAAGCATGTGTTCTCTAAATAAAAAGTCCCCCTGGTGTTGCATTCTGGGATAGCTTTGGGATGTCTCGTTGGAACAACAGAAGATCAAAAAACGTCCAAATCCAATTATACAGAAAATCAGGGGGGAAATCAGCGTAAAACTAGACATATTTACATTAAAGAGAGTAAAGTTACAGCTTGTGGGGAGAGATTTTCCCCAGGAGTATCAGACATGATATTATTTAATCCCTTAAAAAGGCCCATTGCAAGTTTAAATGGCAAAAATATTACCTGCGACTTCTTTAAAAGTGTTGTCACCTTAAATGCTCTTCTCCCAAAACACTTAGATATAACATTGGTTGTCTTTCAATAAGAAAAAGGCTTTGAACAATCCTAAAGGCAACATCATCTGCAGCACAAAGCATCCTCTGAGCATTGAGGAGCAGTTTGTGTGGCCTTCAATGGCTAATTCTTAGTATTTGCCTATGAGGTACAGTATGAGGGCTCCCAGACAAAGTGTGTGTGTGATTCCAGCACCGTCTCAGAAGAATTTCACACCCTTCCCATCATCCATGGTGATGATCTCTGCTTTGCCGTCCGTCTGTAACGCCTGCAAGGAGCGCAGCAGCATCCACTCTTCTAAACTGTGGAACTCTGGGGGAACACATCACGGTTATTATCAGGAGGTAGAATGAGAAAAATGTGACTAACATTTCAGGGCTAGTATTAGTGGAGTAAACACATACTTCTCACTAATACTTTTCAGATACGCTTTAAAAAATGTAACTGATTCTGCAAGGTCTCATTATACATACTTCACATTATGCCATTATATTTCAATACAGTATGTAAATCAATGAGAACAAAATGTATTGATGCTACTTCATGTCAATATTAGAAATGGCACCGTACCTTCGCCTTCCGTGTCATCACCGTTAGCCAACTCATAAAGTGTAAACACAGAGTTGACCATCCCGTTTTTGGAGATCTAAAACATTAAAAAACAGAATGAGGATGGCTGAAATGAAAAGTTGTTTTTGTTTCAGAGGGATGAGATCTGGAGCACACGGTCATAGATACAGCTTCTAATAAGGTGAAGCAAAGAATGTTTCGAAAAACTCAAAGTTTTCATCAGACATAAACAAAACTAGGGCTTCTCCCGGTAAATCAACCAGCTGGGACTTCTTACCGTTGTGACTTCTTTATATCACAAAACAGGCGATATTCCACCATTTGACTTATCCATCCCGCACCATTTATATAGCCTTCCTAAGCCTGTGTTCAATACAAACGTATAAGACATACTGCAACATCAGCAGCCTCTTATGCTGTGTAACTCAGTATTAATTGCAAGTACTAATACACAACTGTTTGTTGTAATTTACATGTTGAAGTACAATGTGCACATTTACTTTACTTCCTATGTGTTTATACATATTTTTCTATACATATTTACTTCAACCTCTTTTTCCTACAAATATGTTTATTACAATTTATTTATTTTTGTTTATCATTTTATTGCACATCTTTACTTAAACTTATTGTGTTTATTGAACTTTTTTTATTACACATATATATATATATATATTTGATATTGTTTTAAAATGGATTAACTGTAATGAAACCCAATTTCCCCCAGGAAAAATAAAGTAGTCTGATTGTAATTCAAAGTGTCTTTAAAATGTCCCTATTAAAAGGTTTATTATATTATTTATTTATAAAAAGGATAAGTCATTTCGTTGACATTTGAACACTGTAGGTTTTCAAAAATACTCAAAGTCATTCAAAGATACTGTAGGGGAAATTAATTTAGACTTAAGGCACCAAATGTGTGTTAGTTTCGGTTGAATTTGGGCTTAGAATTCTTCTTCTTGAGTGCATATAAAGAGCCAATTTAAAATCTGGTTATGCATTGGCAAGAAATCAGCTGAAGTAAATCCTCTTGGGGAAACTTAGTCTCTCATTTATATGACATTTAAGAAATCAGATTACTGCAGAGAGCTGCCAAGTCATTTCAAAGGCTGAGCACACTGACTAGAGAGAGTGCTTTTTGTTGTCCTTTTTCAGTTTCCATGCTCTGACAGCAAGAACCGAAACTCCTTTCCAATTTACCTCTTATTGCTTTAGAGAACATTTTCTTCTTCCCATTACCCTTCATCAGTTCCACAGATATACAGTTTCACAGACAGAACAGTCTGTCTTCAGATTTGATGACTCACCCACTGGTATATTAATTTTCCCCATTCCTCCGGTCGTCTCCACATGACTAAACACCGAGACTTGTTTTTGTCCAGCCACTCCAGGTTCCCTGAGTTCAGACGACAAAAGGATTCAAATGTATTACTGTTGAAATGAATTCACAGCTCGGCAGTGAGATAAGTATTCTTAATCTCAACACTGTGCGAACAAATTGTACCTTTTTTACTCAACTGCTCAAAAACAACTTGAATTGCTTCCATTGACAGTTTTCCTGAAAATCAGTTAAGGCCAAAGACAAAAAGTAACAAATGTACAGGTTTGAAATTCAAATGTCTTGTTCTTAGCGTATACATGTCCTAACACTGCCTCATTCACATGGGAGTATATTTCTATATATAGTTGTTATGCTCATATGGTTCATTGTCACTGTATTTGCTTTTATCTTTTACGGTCTCTGGTTAAAGAAAAAAAAAAAAGATATATATAATATAAATACGGTTTAAATGTTGAAAACAAGAAACTTAAAGTCACCAAAATAAATGTAAGAAATCTCAGAATAGGGGCATTCTAGAAAAAGCATTTAAAGGGGTCCTATTGCCTTATTGACTGAAAAGCCTTGAAGATTATCCTTTATTTACGGTCTAACGGTCGTATCTGCTACAGTTCACCATCAGATAGACGGTTCGGCAACACGAGGCCGACATGGAAACGCAGAAAACGATAACGGGTCCCAAGGTGGGTAGATCTGCAAACGAAACGCTCTGGGGGGGCAAACGGCTCCGTGTTTACGCCTATACGATCATTTCCTGATAACGTTGAAGCAATAGCCCCGCCTCTCCTGCTCAGAGATCAGCTGCTGGGCTGTCAGAAGAGGGGGAGGAAAAGAGAGGCTCCGTTTTGTATTCTTATATTATAATATAGAGTCGTTATCAATTTGTTTTAAAGATCAATAAATAACAAAGAAGACCTCTGACAGGCACTTTTCTAATTTTGTCCGGAAGATTTCAACTTTAACAGACATGTTGACCGGCGAAAAAACATCTAAGTGAAACTCTGATGGTGGGTGTTTGTCATCTGCTGGTGGACTACCGGAGAGAATTACAGCGAGGGAGGGATTGCATTGAATAACAGCAGCAGGAGCAAACGCTTGCCTCGGGGAGGGAGAAAAAGAGCCAGAGCGTCCACAGCGGAGAATAAACAGAAGGGCAACCATGGCAACCATGCGCGGGAAGTCTTCTTCGCTTCTTTTGTGGCAGGAGTACAGCGCCACTTAGACACGGCATATGTACTACAGCGTCTCCAGCGCTTTCGAGCGGTCTCGTGTGAACGGACACGTTTCTGTTGCCTGTTGCGTGTGGACGGAAGACTTTTTTGATATCGATTTCGGTCCGTTTGTGTTATCGTCCTCGTGTGGCTCCAGCCTTAGGCTTTCGCACATTGTAAATGACAGGCTAAGGGGCGAGACATCTCTCAGCACTAATCACAACAGAGCCGGCCAGCTAACCAATCAGCGCAGACTGGGCTCTGGTTTCAGACAGAGGGTGAAAAGAGGTGCTGCAGCACAGGCAGTATGAGAAAAATAAAGAGCTTTCTGAACATTAAAGCACTGAAACATGTCACAGTAGAGGCACAAAATACTAATATGAACATGAAAATGAGCATTATATTTCCTAATTTAATGAGTCAACAATAATATCCTGTGGTTAAAATTACGTTTTATATCCTAAGAAAAAACCAGCTTGTAAACCTTTGACTAGCAATCCAAATGAAACATAAGCAAACATGAGAGACTATATGGACTTGAAACTGTTTTGAACATGTTTTATGTATGGTGAAATGGTGGCTTTTACTGGACTTGAAGGATACGTTCTATCTTCTTGTTGTTGAACACGGGGCTCTCCTGGGCCTCCATGACGTCCAGGGTGTAGAGCTTGTGATGGCGGCAGTAGGACAGAGCCAGGGAGCACCATGCCGCCAGCTGCTTCTGCCTGGTGTCAGCATTGGGCTGTAGCCTGTCCACAAAGAGAGGAAGACAAGGAGACGTCAACACTGAAGGACAAACAACAAGCTAATGGCACTGCAAACAGAACACACACACATCAGTGTAAAGCTTACTTTTCTTACGCCATTTTATTAAGTAGATTTAAGCTATAGCTATGAGGGAAGCTTTCATCAATGCTTTACATTTTACAGCTTGTTCATGTTATTTGCTATATCTTCCTATTTTTAAGGTTTCTGCATGTCCAGGCCTATGTGTATTTTGTGAATATTTGGACCGTTGTGCTATGTTTAAGTAGCGTTAGATTTTGTGAAGAAGAAAAGGGCACGTTTCTTCAGATCACATCCTTTTAAGGGAAAAACAAACCATTTTAAATAAAGTCCCCCTGAATACAAAAACAATAAATGGAAACTTTGGTTGAGTCTGTTCTTTCTAACATTATAAGTCCTGTATTTATTTATTCCATTTGAAGTCACCTGTGAGGACATTCACAATAAAGGACACTGCGATAAACTTGTGGCTAATGATAATATCGCATCATTGTCCCCTCCCTATTTATGAAAAATAAAACCCGACCAAGTAGCTAACATTCAGATAAGACAACATTTACTGAAGGATGATACAGTGAGAGATACCCTGAGAGTAGTTACATATTTTTTGTGTCAGCCTGGAGGACCGACTTCTGGAAAAGGAAGCGATGACCAAATACTGTCAGCTGCTCTACACACACGCCTAAACTATTATCAAAGGTTGTGACCTTTTAAATATCTTCTCATTTAGAGATTGTTTATACAATAAATATTCCAAGTTTCCTATGATGACACACCTCTGAATGCTTTCTCGTTCAGTTCCATAGAGAAAAGTGTGATTTCACATATTTACATTCAAATTCCAACATTCACTTCATCCTCTCTGAATTCTGTGAAGCTCTTTGGAAGTAAGATTTAGGGGGAGAGGATATCTGTAACATCATCAGCTAATGAGATACAAATCCCTAAAAGTGGCCTTTATTGGTCGGGAAGAAAAAACGCCTTCCCACTTATCCCCTAAATTAGATTTATATTACTTTTTATTTTCCATTATATTCTGACCTGAAGGTTGAGGTCATTATTTTAGCTGAAAAATCAAAAATAAATCGCTATTTGTGTGTTGTTTTCTGCCCTACTATAAAACAACAGGGTGTCATGTTAAAGCACTGCAGAAAAGATTGTAACAGTCACTCACAAGTGCTTTAACATGATTGCCAATTGGAGTAAAGTTCATTAAAAAAAATGTTTTACTGTATAATACTCGGTTGTCAAAATTAAATAAAAGCAACCAACGATTGTGATCCAATTTAAATATGGTGAAAATGTTTTGGTAGCAGCTATTACTATAAAGGGTGTGACCAATAATACAATTATATGTGCAAAAGTATTCGATAGCTTATATCACAAACCCGGTCACATAATCTGACGGGTAACCAAATTGGCCATAACACTGTTCAATAGTTGGTGAGCATGTATGCGTTATATTCATTATCATTGGTGGCATACACACACTGTGTAGTCTGGTAGCTGAAGTTGAGGCAGTGGTGGCTACCAAAACAGCTAACGTTAGCTGGAGCTACGAGCTAAACTCATTCTCTAAACTCGCACACACCACCATTCCTCAATAAGATGTGTATTTTTAATACATTTTAAAATGTCAAACCTAAACAAGTCAAATAATGGAGCTCACAAACTTTAGAGAGCCACTAGAAGAAAAACAGCTCCACTTCCCTAGCTGTTTTGTTTTAGCAAGGTAGCTCCGGCTACCATGATAGTAGCTAGCAAAGCAACACACTTCAATTATTCAACAAAGAAACAATGGCGGTTAATAAGTAGAGCTGATACATGTTTTAAATGTGGTTTAGAAGAATTGACTCACGTAAAAAACGGTGGGAAGTTATATTGCCAGGGCCACTCAAAACTCATTGCAGTTGATGCGGTACTCAACTTCCGGAAGTCCGTCCCACCGCTCAAATGGTTCCGACTAGCTACACAGATTTTACACTTTACGAAATAAACATAAATCATAACAACATTATAGGAATATATATGAATAAATAAATAATTATATATAAATACATGTATTTATTTATTTTTTAAAGACAGATTTATATCCAATTAATAACATATAAAAAAGAATAACAAATAAAAACATACACAATTAATAGGAACATTTTACACAAATATGCATATATATATATATATATCAAATCTAAATCTTAAATACATAAACTGAATGAATGGTAATGCATTTACCAAATTATTTTAGTGCACATTTTCACATTTGTTAAACAGCCTTAATGTATACATACACTTCTTGTATTTATAGTTTTCTATTATTATTATTATTATTATGGTAATAAATAATATAACATGCCTAACAAAAAGTCTAAAAGGGCAATTTGGCAAAATTAACAATTTTACTGTGATAATTAAAGCACATTGCTGTTCATATTTCTTTACTCAGGCTTTAGTCATATAATATTTAACTTTTTTCAAACCCACAGCATGTGAATTAATCCCATGTTTACATTTTCATGACCATTGTGAAATGAATTCAAAGCTGTAGTTTTTTTACAAAGTTATTTTTTATTATGGAATAAATTGTGCATTTCCAACAACTTTCAGCATAAATATGCCTTCTATTTCTATTTACAGGACAGGAATGTCTTCTAGAATCCACTTTTCTTTTTCATGGTGAGAATCTTTTTACTGTCAAAGAATGCATCACTAGTTTACATTTCTATGGTGTTATCATACAGTTTCTTAAAGAACAACATGATCGGAAAGTGGGATTTCATTCACTGGAAAATAATCTATAAGTTGCACAAGTATTCTTTGTTACCATCTATTTCACAGCAAGGTGTTGGTATTAATATTTAAATGTATACAGGTCTATATTACAATACAATTCATGGGTAAAAATGATACAATATTAGAATACAATCTCAGTTATTGCCATAGGTGATAAACTGTAATTTCAAATTTAAAACAAGATTTAAATGTCATTAAACTTTCTAAAAAATAAAGATGGAGGCAATTATTGAACATTTCTTTAAGAGAGCATTAATGCATTCGTCCAGGTTTGACTTCGGTAGGTTCTAGGTGCGATTTAGACAAGCCAGTAATAAAAAAAACAAACAAATAAAATCTCAGGAAAGTGATTTAAGATTAAGACAGCTAGAGTGGAGCGAGAGCAATATGACACAGTCCTTTTTCAACCTAAGCAACAAGCTAAAAAGCTCAGAGAAAGGAAACTTCATTGGATTTCCAACCCTACAATACTGCCGAAGATAGTTGTAACAGCGTCAGCCTCCTGACACTCTGGTTTAAAATGCTTCAAATATTCTCAGCTAAAACCATTTGAAGATCACTTTTTTCTAATTTGTGTGGTTAAACCTTAAATATTCTGAGCAAAGAAAACTTGAAGGGCCCTTTTTACAAGAGAAGTTTCATTTTAGGGTGCACTGAAGCTTTTTATGTGCATGCAAAAAAAGGAAATCTAGAACTTCAAAAAGCTTGAGCACATTCAGACGATTGTACAGCTCTTCACTGGAGGCTCGTGGCGGCTTTAGCTGGAGTAGAACATCAGCTCGTACTCGTTCAGGATGAACTCCACTATCTGGTTCTGGAAGACCATGTGCATGGTGATGTTGCCCAGCTCCATCTCTGGCCGGAGGAGAGTCGGACCGAATACAATAGCCACATTCTGCACAGTCATGCGATTGTCCTCCCCGTATTCAATGAGCCTGTCAGAGAAAAAATAAATAGGATAATGTAATAAGTCTTTATTTTCATTTCAACTATATCCTTTTACATCAAGATCTGGAACAAGTTGATGCAAACCAGAAGGAAAAGATTAAATAAATAAATGTTTTGAAAAAATAAATAAAAAACACCCTTGACTTTATTATTGTTTTTATGATTATAATTTTGTATTAATTAATTAATATACAGTGGGGGAAACAAATATTTAGTCAGCCACCAATTGTGCAAGTTCTCCCACTTAAAAAGATGAGAGAGGCCGGTAATTTTCATCCTAGGTACACTTCAACTATGAGAGACAGAATGGGGGGAAAGCATCCAGGAAATCACATTGTAGGATTTTTAATGAATTAATTGGTAAATTCCTCTGTAAAATAAGTATTTGGTCACCTACAAACAAACAAGATTTCTGGCTCTCACAGACCTGTAACTTCCTCTTTAAGAGCCTCCTCTGTCCTCCACTTGTTAACTGTATTAATGGCACCTGTTTGAACTCGTTATCAGTATAAAAGACACCTGTCCACAACCTCAAACAGTCACACTCCAAACTCCACTATGGCCAAGACCAAAGAGCTGTCAAAGGACACCAGAAACAAAATTGTAGACCTGCACCAGGCTGGGAAGACTGAATCTGCAATAGGTAAGCAGCTTGGTGTGAAGAAATCAACTGTGGGAGCAATTATTAGAAAATGGAAGACATACAAGACCACTGATAATCTCCCTCGATCTGGGGCTCCACGCAAGATCTCACCCCGTGGGGTCAAAATGATCACAAGAACGGTGAGCAAAAATCCCAGAACCACACGGGGGGACCTGTCAATGACCTGCAGAGAGCTGGGACCAAAGTAACAAAGGCTACCATCAGTAACACACTACGCCGCCAGGGACTCAAATCCTGCAGTGCCAGACGTGTCCCCCTGCTTAAGCCAGTACATGTCCAGGCCCGTCTGAAGTTTGCTAGAGAGCATTTAGATGATCCAGAAGAGGATTGGGAGAATGTCATATGGTCAGATGAAACCAAAATAGAACTTTTTGGTAAAAACTCAACTAGACGTGTTTGGAGGAGAAAGAATGCTGAGTTGCATCCAAAGAACACCATACCTACTGTGAAACATGGGGGTGGAAACATCATGCTTTGGGGCTGTTTTTCTGCAAAGGGACCAGGACGACTGATCCGTGTAAAGGAAAGAATGAATGGGGCCATGTATCGTGAGATTTTGAGTGACAACCTCCTTCCATCAGCAAGGGCATTGAAGATGAAACGTGGCTGGGTCTTTCAGCATGACAATGATCCCAAACACACCGCCCGGGCAACGAAGGAGTGGCTTCGTAAGAAGCATTTCAAGGTCCTGGAGTGGCCTAGCCAGTCTCCAGATCTCAACCCCATAGAAAATCTTTGGAGGGAGTTGAAAGTCTGTGTTGCCCAGCGACAACCCCAAAAAACATCACTGCTCTAGAGGAGATCTGCATGGAGGAATGGGCCAAAATACCAGCAACAGTGTGTGAAAACCTTGTAAAGACTTACAGAAAACGTTTGACCTCTGTCACTGCCAACAAAGGGTATATAACAAGTATTGAGATGAACTTTTGTTATTGACCAAATACTTATTTTCCACCATAATTTGCAAATAAATTCTTTAAAAATCAGAAAATGTGATTTTCTGGATTTTTTTTTTTTTCTTCTCATTCTGTCTCTCATAGTTGAGGTATACCTAGGATGAAAATTACAGGCCTCTCTCATCTTTTTAAGTGGGAGAACTTCCACAATTGGTGGCTGACTAAATACTTTTTTGCCCCACTGTATATTCTTTCTCTTTCATTTATTTCTATGTAGTACTCTTATATTACTGTTATTCACTTTACAATTTGATATGAAATATAAATATATCATTACAATAAGAAACATACCTGCGTAAATGCCCAAAAAGGAGTTTCATGGTATCATGATTTGAAGGAGGAAGGGACCTGACCAGCTCATACATGCAAGACGCTTTTGTGTTGTAATCAGGAATTCCTAGAAAAACAGGACATGATCAGTTATACAAATAATAAAAATATACAAATCACTGTTTGCAATATCAATATTAATCTTAATATTTGCTATTTTTACACATTAAACACAAATGATTGTCGTTAAGGGTGATTTAGTCGGTCAAAATTGGATTTTTGAAGAAAAGATCTGCTTACTGATTGCTTCGATGAACTTATTAAAGTGACTGAAGGGGAAAAGCGGCTCAGGAAGCTCTCTGAAAAACAGCTTCAGCGCTCCGGTGATGACGTGAACGTCCTCCCACTGTCCGTCCTCCAGGTCCAGCTCCTCTGTGACAACACAACAGGGGCACAGACTGTTAAAGCACAGCAGGGGGCGCTGCTGTCCGCAGTGACAGCCTGGAGTAAACTACCATATGCATACTTCCTCTGCATGAAGAATAACTGAATACATTGACCTTAATGCACTTATTTGTGTTGTAAACTTTACCATGATCAGCCTTGAAGCGTAGTTTCTGAATGACAGCTAGGTTCCCGCTCACTCTGTAGAGTCCGTCAATGTCTAAACCTGTAAATGATCACACAGTAAGTCAATTTGTATACTGCACACAGAGAAACAATACTTCCATTATGATTCAGAAAGTCACACAAACAGCTTGGATTACCTCTCTTTTCCACTGCTTTGATACATTTCTCCACAAAACTAGGAACTGTGGCCCTTTCTTGTGCGCACAGTGTGCCCAGATGGCATCCAAACACATTGTCTATGGGAAGAAAAACATTATTATCATTAGTTGTATTAGTAGTAATACTAAGGAGAGTGAATGAATAAGTACTACAATTAAAAAATATAGTTGTGATTTGGGGAAAATATAACATAGAGAGAAGAAAATATATGCAGAAATGTAGCTGTTGGGGTTTCAAAACTAAACATGACTCATTTTGTAACATTAGAACATGTCCATACAGATTATGCATTACACGTCATGTACTGTAAAACGTATGGATTATTCTCAGGCAGACTATAGCATGCATATGAGAAGTTAATTTAACTGCCATAAAAAAACTATAATTGAGTACAAAATAAATAACGATATCCCAATTTATACATGCAAATACAGATTCTAGAAGATTATATACACAATATGTCACCGATTAAAATTCCTTAGACTGCGCAGGCTGTGTAAGATATCATGCTCCTCCTATACATAAAAATAACTGATGCAAATGTATTTAAATATGT